CTGGAGTAGGGAAAAATGAAGTCACTGGGAAAGGAGAGGGCAGAGGAAGGCTCGGGGCTCAGTGGAATAAGAAGGACTCATCTCCTGAGGAAGTGGACAAGCCCAGATGGGTCAGGATGGCAGGCTGAGGGTGTTCAGTGCCACTGAGGACAGACTGCTCTGTGGAAGAAAGAATCGTTGCTTCTTCCTCCAGTTACCTAGTTGTATAAGTATTTGTCAGTTGAAAAAGCCTCCTTGTTCTTGAAGCTGAGCAGACAGGGACATCTAAGTTTGGTCCAGTGTCACACACACTAGGGCCCAGCACTCAATCAGTGCTGTTTCTCACCTGCATTTAAGTTGCCTAAACAGTGGCCACTGGAACCGTGTGTGTCCCACTGGCCTGCAAAACAGGCAGGTGCGAAGCATTCTTTCCTGATTGTGGGAAGAACCCCGAAGCACAGGCGGGCTGTGGCCAGCACAGGCCCAGCCTCGCATCCCTTCACTGACAAAGTCAGATGTCCACTCCAGTCCACTGCTGTCCCAGTCAGCACACACCCGGGTGACCTGGTGAAAGGAATCTTTCTGCACTATCAGGTGTTTTTTGTTCCCCGACCAGCTCTGAGTCCTAAATGCATAGCTATGTCTGAGATTGATTTTGTGGGGAGGATATATAGAGAACATTGTCCAGAAAGGTGACAGCTGCCTACACTTTCTCAGATGGACCCTCACACGTACTGGTGTTTATGTTCAGAGTCGGGTTGTCTGTGGTCAGTCTGTCTGGGGGCACCTGTCTTCCCTGCTTCCTGGGGAGCTCACTTGCTCACTCTGGCTTGTGGAAGTGTGACCCCGCTGCTGACCCTGTGACCTAGTCGGGTCCTGACCACCTCTCTGTGGGTCTGCACAGGGTCACTTACAGGACGGTGCACAGAGAGCTTCCTCAAGACAGGAGGAAAAACCACGTTGGCCAGTCTGCTCTGCCCTCTCTGTGCCTCTGTGGGGTCCTGAACCCAGGGCACACTCGATGGAGACACATCAGCTTCTGTAAACTTGTACATTGGAACTGATGGGAAAGTGAAAGGTCCCTGACATTTGAGTTATTTGGTTAAACACCCACACGCACATTTGGGGGTTTTACATAGTCCAGCTACTTTTCTTTCACTTTTCCCTGATTATTTATTTATTCCTCATGTGGCTTTTGGCAGCTTTAATGCTGACTAGGATGATGTGAAAGTTATTAGAGAGGAAGACAAAGGAGGTGGTAGCACTAAGGACTTGAAATACAGGACTTGGAAAACTATATAGGAACTGAAAGAAAAAGGAATCCCTCTGGAATACTCGTGTCAGTGCAGACACTGTGTCTCCAGGTGGCATGAGCTGACCTCTGTGTGGATTACTACTGCATGATCTGTAGAGACTCTTGATAATGAAGATCTGAGTCAGTATAATCTTCATCCTCTGAGTCCAAAGTATTTCTCGAAATAGTGTGTACATTTTCTCCTTAAAGTTCAAGGGAGTTTCAGGTTTTGGTTTTTGTCTCTATTATTTCATAGAAATCAGCCAGAAACATTAAATATCCTTATTGTATGGATAAACTGAATTCTGGAGAGTTGAGGGCACTTACTCAAGGTCCTCCCTCAGGACGAGTGCCAAGCCAGGGATCACGAAGGCATCCAGGACTCCATGTCCTCCCTTCCCCTTGCTGCCTCCTGTCAGTTAGCGGTTCCTGGGCCTTCAGGCCCAGGCCCTCAGCCTCTCCTTTGCCCCGTGCACCTCTGTGTGCCCATCAGCCTGTGTGTGCTGCTCCCACTCCCCGCTGCTCTCAGGCCACCCCCACCATCGCTCCTCCCTGGAGCTGCCGCCCCAGCTCTCACGGCACCTGTCCAGCGGTGCCCGTTGACCTCGGGCAGACCACATGCTCTCTGCTATGATGCACAGTTTCCATCGTGACTGGGCTCCATGTCCCTCCTGAGCTGGCTCTCTGGCCATCCTCCTGCTCGCAACTCCCTGGCTCCGGCCCCTGGATCTGGGTGGCTTGCAGTCTGTTGATGTCCCGCCTTCTCTCACAGCTCTCTTCCTTTCTCATCTCTTCCCTCCCTGGCGCCCCCTTTCCCCTGTCCTGTATCCTCTGCTCCTACTTTCCTTCAAGGTTTCCTTCAGAATCAGGTGCTCCTGGAAGCTCCCCTGATTTTACCCTCTACTGCTCCCTCAACAGCGCCTCCCCTGCCCCACAGAAGGGCCGGGTGGGGTGTCCTAGCCCCACCGGGCACATGCTCTGTAACAGCACCTATAGTGTCGATTTTTTTCCATTTCCCACTGGCCTGTGGATCCTGTGAGTGGGGACTGTGCTGTAATTCTCTGCCTGTCCAGCTGGCCCGTGACTGGTGCTCATAAATACAGTTAAGGAATAGCAGAATCCCAGTTTTCTTGGTCCTCAAAGGTTCTTTATTAGATTATAGGAAGCATTTGATTAACAATAGTAACCAGGATTATTAAGCACAGACTGTGTTCCAGGCACTGCCCTGGGTGTTCTGCGTATGTTCACTCACTGAACCTCACAGAACTTTTCACAAATCCATTTCCAGTGGTGATACTGAGGCGCACAGCTCTTAGGAGACTTCCCCAAAGACAGCTGTGTCAGGATTCAGTCTAGGCAGTTTGGCTCCAGAAATCACATTCAGGGTGGTAAGTTTTATTAGCTCCTATTAATTATTAATTAGCTCCTATTTCCAACATGATCTGATGTTATTGGTAAAAAACAAAAGGAAGACAGCTAATATACCAGTGTGAACTAGAGAGATGAGGAGAGCTGGGGAGACGGGAAGAGGGAGCGAAGGAGGAAAATAAGTTGATATACATAAGGAATTCTATTCATTTATTAGTAGCATGTTTTAAAGTAAGCTTTATAAATGAATTTAGATTTTACCATTTTTAACAGTATTTCTGTAAAACAACTTAGCCTGAAATTTCCATTGAAAGAAGATGGTAAATACCTAGGATAGCGTTTATGCTATTAATTTACTTTTATACTGTTATTTAAGTATTTGGAGGTATTTAACAAAATGTTTTTATTCTTCTCTTCAGGCTTTCAAGACACCACAAGGGTCTTTGTTACCTCTATAGTTTTCAGAGGATTTTTACATGGGTTATTTCATCTTACATTGAAACCCTGAATTTCACAAACTTCTTGGAAAGCCAGGAAACTATATGGACTGGAGGGTTCTACACATTCTCAGCACATACACACTTAGGGCCTTTTAACAACTCCAGAAGGCCCTTAACTGTAGCAGAGAGAAAGCTGTTACTAGGCAACTCCTTCACTGAGTGGTGAACTCTTTTTTAAGATGTAAACTTTTTAAGGATGATGGCTTACATTACACAACATTTTATCCTATAGAGTGTTTCAGAACCAAGCAGCAATAGATATTGAATAAATGCCTATGAAATGCATGAATGAATGAAAGTCATATATATAGTGACCGGAGTTAATATTTATTCCATTAAATGACTGGTCATGTTACTGAAAAGCTCCCAGAAGAGAGTCGAAAGTAATTTATAAAAGGAATTCCCACCACCGCCCCCACATGACAGGTGAGTGTCGAGTGAGGCTGCTTTGTGGAGCAGTGTTATGTCCAAAAAGTACAATTAACCTCCGAGAGGAAACATGCCCCGAAGCACTGGTGAATGCAAGGTCCAGACAGGAAACACAGTTAGTTGTATAGTCATCCACAGACTCAGTCTTTATGTAAAATACTCCGTAAGGGTCTGCAAATAAGTTCAGGAAAATAATTCCCACTGAAGTGATAGGGCTAGGAAAGTTTGCCTATTGGAGTCATCCTGTGCTGATTTAACAGGCAGAGGGAAGGGAGCACAGTGACAGCAGGCAGTTCTCTCGCACTTAATGTGCGAGCCAGTGTTACAAGCACCAGACAGTGTCATTACTCCCCGTTTCACAGACCAAGCAGCTGAAGTCCGAGAAGTTACTGTCCAAGGTCGCACAGCTGGTAAATGATGGAGTCCAGGTTCAAACCTGCCTCCAGAGCCTGCGCTCTGAACCATGACACTATATTGTGCTTAGAGTGAGACCTCCCTCCGCCCCACAAACCCCCCCCAAACACCCTCCTTTAGAGGAAGTCTCTGCACAGCTTGTATTTTACCAAGAGTTTCTGTTACCTCCATCCCCAACCTGGACATAAATATTAGCAGCCCACTGCATATAATTAATTGTTCTGCGATATTTTTTTAAACACAAAGAAGTTCTAGAAAAAAAATGTAGAAATGTCTTTAGCCTTACTGATCATCAAATAAATGTAAAGCAAGTAACAGAAATGTTCTTTTTCACTTACTAGATTAATAGGTTATATTTAGAATTAAAATACTCATGTTGGCTGAGAAGCAGTGAAGCCGAGACTGTCACTGTTGGGAGGGTAAATCGGTACAGTGTTTTCGTAAGCTGAAAAATATAAGTTTATATCTAAAGATTCTTTTTAAAAATGTATACCCTTTGCCCTAGTAGTTCTACTACTGGGATTCTATCCTGAGAAGTAATAGAAAGTATAAAAGTATAGAAGTAAAAGAAGTGTAGCAAAGATTTTTATGTAGATAGATACATGACCAAATAGTAAAATATACTCTTTTAAATTGTGTTGAATAATTCATTGTAAATACAATACATTTAAGTGCAGGAATACTCTTTTAAAATAATTTTGTTCCTTTGTAAAGTATCCTGAAATACTGGCATTATTTGATGATTAATACTCGATAAAATTTTTGGTAATTGTGAGTTTGCACAGAAGTACAAAGCAAGCCCTCTTTTTGACAAAAATATTCTGGCATGATCCATTGCTTTCACCTAGCTTAAAATCAGCTTATTAGAACTGCCGGTTACCAGATAGTCTTAGCTATATTCATGATATAATTTTTGTTAGAAATGTTTACAGCTTTTACCTTAAACCTTAATTAAGCTTTAAAAATTTTTCTTAACTCAAAAGACTTTGTTGAAAAGCAAAATTTCTGGTACTTACCTCTCTGTGCCTTGTTGGGGCCTCTGTGTTAGCAGTCAGTATTCGCCCAAACTGAAGTAGGTTAACCTTGGCATGTTGTTTTAAGAGAGATTATGCAGACATCCTTTTATGGTGGTGGCTTTTTTCTGACACCCTGTGACTGAGCATAGTAATGATCAGTGAGCCTCATGTGCGTATGCATTTTTTTTTAATGGGAAGTGAAATTTTTCTGTTAGTGATTTTTTTTAAAAAAAGTTATCCAAAAGCCCCTTGGAATTTATGAATTGTTGATATCTGTGGAACTTTATAAATTTTTCTATAAATGTTTAAGTATTAAGAGACTGAAGCAATAAACCTTAACCAGGAAAAAAAGAGAATCATAGTTACTGATGATTTTGTATTCATATTACGTGTAAAGTATGAGTTTTAAAATGTTTTAAGGAAAAAGTGTTAATTTTGTCAGTTCTGTCTGCCTGGAAACTCGGTGCAGGGACTAGTTTACTCATTCTGTTATCTTATCAACAGCTTATGAGAAAGAAACAAAAGTTTCTGTGGTGAGTGGAAGAAAGATGCTCTTTTGCATGTGTGCAATGATTACTCGGTGTTTTCAGGCAGGAGACCAACTGACTGACCAGTGACAACGTGAACACACGTATGACAAGGGAAGAGCTGAAGAGGGCATCTTACAGCTAAAATTGCCTCTTGTGCACAGGATGAAGGAGACCTACACTGTTCACCTTAGAGTTCTAGTTGACTCAGTTTAAACCAGCAATGTCACATGGCTATCAAAATGCAGTTGATTTGCAGGCTCAACAATGGAAATACAGTACTCAGAACAAGAAAGATGATCCGGCCATTCTTCCCAGTGAGCTCAAAGGGCTGTGTTTTATGAAGGCACGGGTGGCCTAGAGCATGCCCAGGGGCCTGAGGGGTCTGGATCCCAGGTCTTAGGAGAAATGATTGAATAGACTGAGCACATCTGGGCTCAGCGGGGACGTGATCATTACCTCACACGTTTGAAAGCTCTCACGGAAAAGGGTTTAGGTTGCATGTGTCAGTCTTCCTGAGAGTAGAAGGCCAGCCGATAGGAGGAGGTTACGGGAGACAGCTTTCACATCAAAATATGAAAGTAGTTTCTACAGGTTGGGATCATTAAAAAATGGCCTAGGTGGTCTCTTGTTGAGGTGCTTGCATTAACTAGGTGACTATTTTGAGGGATGATGTAGAGAGAATTGAATCATCTGGCAGGAAGTTGTAATTCTGGACCCCAGTGGCCCTTCCACTCCAGGCTTCTGTCAGAATGACTGAGGACCTTGGGTCTCTCAGTGGTATTATTCCATCTAGAAGCTTATTAGGTTCTTTTAGCCCTAAAGTGCCAAAGATCTGAAGAGAAACCTTGTCAAACAGAAGAGCATCAACTCACCTGAATTCTTTGGTCCTCCACTCCACTGCCTGTAAAATAAAGGGATTGAACTAAATGGTCACCAAGATAATTCCTAGTACAAAAATCCCATGAGGGGGAAATATGGAGATTTTATGATTTGGTGGATCAGTATGATAAAATCTTCTAGAACCAGTTTCTTTAAAACTTGGATTAAAGAAGACAATGTTGAGAAGTTTTTCAGTTTGTTAAAAAGCCATCCTGTTGGCTTTTGGTTTTTAATTTCTGGAATAGTTTTTATTACGTAAAACACTATTATATCATGAACTTGCTTAGGTGAAATAAATTTTCTAGCAAACTGGATCTCCTTTTTTTTGTTTGTTTTGTATTAGAGTAGCCAGGTGTGTGAGGAGGCGGTGATGGGGTAATTGCCCTGGGGGTGCTTTTGGCGTTTAGCGTGAGATAATTTCATCAGCTCATAAATCTCATTTTTATTGCTGTTGAAAGCTACCAGGATTTCTTTAGTTGTACTATAAAAGCAGAGTCGATGTCCTTTTCTGTAGTAGTGGTAAGATGGACATTTGTGACCTGAACTGTTTCTATTATTTTATTCGCTCTGTCAAGTATGGTTGTGAAGTATATAATAGATACTCAATAAATATTAGTGACATTTGTTGAACGAATGAATGAATTCTTGATAACCTGTATTCCTCTTTTCTGTACTTCAGTCCTATATGCTTAAACCAGAAGGGCTACCAGAAGTTAGCTATTCGTAAAACGAAAAGGTCAAACTGAGTTATTGTTGACAGTATAAAGAGCAGATGTTGTCATCAAATAAGGAAAAGAGAAAAACTGGTCAGTGACTAATAACACTCAATGTGTATAGAAATAGCAGTGGAAAATTTCTACAAAACAACCTGTGTAACCATGGTCTGAAATGTGTGCTTTTATATTATGGGTGTATGTGGTTTAGTATTTAGTCACCATTTAAAACTACACAGTGGTTAATAACTTCTAAGGAATTTTGAAACTTCTTCTATTGGTATATTAGACATGAACTGTGGTCATTAAAATTCCTATCAATATTTTCTTAGTTTACATTGAAAGTGTGACCTCAAGCAAGAACTCTGCTTCAGATTTTTTTTTTTTATTGTAGCATCAATCTTTACACTTTATTCACTGAGCAGCTACCTCGTGGAGTTCCAGAGGGTGGTGCTGGAGCAGCAAACAAGCTGACCCAAGTCCTGCCCTTGTGGAGCTTCTGTTCTCATCATGGAGACAGTGATAAATTGGTCCTGCAGTGAATAAGGAGGTTATGGATGCTGTGGGGACAGGAAATAGAGAATACGGGGTGGGGGTGGGGCTGTGAGGTAGGCAGAGGCTGCCATTTGGAATGGGGGTGGTCAGGGAGGGCTTCTTGGAGAAGGTGCCATTTGAATGAAGACCTGAAGGGTGTAAGGGAGCGGGTGATGCACTTGTCAGTGGGAGGTTGGGCAGGAGAGGGGGAAGCAGATGCACGTGCACTGGAGCACCACGTGCCTGGTCCTGCTAGTGAGACACGCCCTGATCCAGCATGACTGGAGCAGTGAGAGAGTGGGGGAGCCTACAAAGTAGAAAACTAGATTGAGGTGGGGGACGCAGGGCCTCAGAGGTCTTTGTCATAACTTTGGCTTTTACTCTAGGGTGGGGAGTCACTGGAGGATTTTAAGCCCAGGAGTGATTAACTGGTACTTTTTAATGAAAGGGGTGCACAGTACTTCATCAACTGTGTTTGGGTTTAGATAAGTTTAATTGAAAAAAACACAAGATTTTTTGTGTAGTATTTAGAATGATATTTTAAATAAGTCTGTTCATTAAAATTGCTCTGTTAATTTTTTTTAATACAAATATCAAGGGTTGATTATATGTAAGGGTCTGCATTAAGCACTAGGGGGATGCAGTGCTAAGTAGAACATGGTGCTTTCTCTTAAAATTAATAATCTAATGGGAGACTTTAAAAAAAACCCTATGTAGTTATTAGTTCAAACGTGGATCATATATTTGTTTAGGAATAAGGAGTATTTCACAGCCCCAAATTCAGTGAGCTCTTATGCTGTGCCAGGCGCTGTGTCTGATGCTGGGAGAACCAGGAGGATGCACCTTCCCTGCCGTGGGATGTACTCAGTCTAGGAGGAGGGCTGGATGAGTGAAGCATCCCAGACCACTCTTCCACATTGTTTGCAGACCTCTGCTGCCCTGTCCCTGTCGTCTTCTTACAAGACTGTGAGAGGCTGCGTCTTCCCGCCTCCGTTTCTGCAGCCCTGACCCAGCTCCTGGCATTTAGGTGTTCAGTGGGGGTGGGGGGGATTCCTTGTTCTAGTATTTTCTACATTCTTACAGGTGCCTGTTGATGCTGCTGCCATTGGTCACATTTTCAGTGTGTGTTTGCTTTTGTTTTGTTTTTAATGGAATTGAGAAGACAGTGAATGATTTTTTTTAGTAACATGATCTTTATCAAAGATGGGAAAATTGAAAATGCACAGGAGGCCAAGAGGGTCCTGTGTTTCCCCCCAAATGGTAGTGAGAACATTTCTCTGTGGAAGTGAAGAATATTTTTTGCTTTTTTCTTATGGTAAAGAAATAGTTCTTTGTACAATGCCACTCATCCAAAAAAAGAAAAAAAGGAAAATAAAAGACTAATTAAGCCAAGTGTTTAATGAAGAATGGGTGTGAGTGTGTGTCCAAACCACACTACTCATTCGCGTTGCTTGCCTGGCCCTTGGAAGAATGGGCGTTTGCAGTCCTGGAGCTAGTTTCTTGAGGTCAGGGGCTGCTTCTCACGTAGAGATGTAGATGGAGCTCCTTGCACCCGGCCTACTGCCTCTCACACAGTGCCAGGCGGCACAGCGGTTCTCTGAAATGGTGAAACTGAAGTAGCTTTGAGCAGAGTAGAGCAGCTAACCCCCAGGAGGGTTGGAGAAATTGCTGAAGAGAAGAGTTGAGCTCGGTCTTACACTGTAAGTCTAAGTTTCCTAAGCACAAACGTGGACCGGACATTTATGTTGAAAGAATAGCCTGTGTCCATGAATAGTCAAAAGAGCCTAATGTGCCCGGGAGCATCTGGGGGTGGGGGGAAGGGGAGGGGCCCGATTAGGGGAAGGGAGAGGAGGACGGTTGTGGGAAACCACACTGGTAGGGAAGAATTGCAGGACTTTGCTGTTTCATGCTGATGTTTGAATTTCCTCTTTGGATACTGGCAGCCTGGAAGGAAGGTTTTCAACAAGGGTGTCACATGCTCAGAGCTGTGTTTGGGGAAGAGAATGCTGTTGGCGGTGTTAACACTGGGTGGATTAGAGCGAAATAAGACTTGAAGTAGAAAGACACCTGTGACTTTTGAATATGTCAGGTTGAAGGTATCAAATTGAGTTTCATAACTAAGGTGAGGGGACAGGCAGGCAGTTGGGGGACTCACTTCATTTTCTGAGTTGAAGTCCTAGAAGAGCTTACGGTTACTCAAGGAGAGACTGGAGCAAGAAGAAAAGACAGGCTATTATAGAACCCTGGAGAGGGTAGAAGAAAAGTGGTCAGAAAAATCATGGGGAAACCAGCAAGAAAGAGAGTTTAAGACAAAAGAAGGGAGGAATTTGAGGAAGGAAGGGCAGGAGTGGTGAGCAGAGTCAAGTGCTCTAGTGATACATGAGTGAACAGAGTCTGAGATGAAGACTGGGTTTGACTGTGATGAATTACAATGTTTGTTGCCTTTGGTTTGCCTAACCTCTTTCATCAGATTGCAAGCCACTCATGAGCAGAAAACATAGCATCAACTTTAAATTTTGTCACAATGCCTGGCATTTGGTTAGTAGATGCTGAACCAGATGCTGAACTACTTCTTGCAGTACTTTTAGGAGAGTCAACAAGGATTAGATAACTAGAGTTCTCATAAATGTTACACATATGCACAAGTTATTTTGAACATGATGTATGTAAGAAAAGCCGACTTGTGTATCTAAGACCATGCTTTTAGACTGAAATAAAATGATCAGCAGTGTTACTTGAAATGTACATTTGTCGTTGGTACTTTAAACTGAGTATTATACCATAGTGATTTTTCTTTATTTGTTTGCATAGCCTGGCACCTGTGTTTGCTCTGTTTGTACCATTTTACTGCTCCATCCCGAGAGTCCAAGTGGCACATATTCTGGGCCCGTTGTCCATCACAAACAAGACACTGATTTATATATTGGGACTGCAGGTACAGTATGCATTTTTATGTTCACGTTTCTTTAACCAGATTCTTTTTTTTTTTGGTCTTTTTCTCATTTGATCTCCTTGAAGACAATGTTTTTTTCCCCATAAGTTTGGCTTCATGATCTATATCAAATGTTCAAAGGAAGTGTTACAGAACAAGCACATCAAGGTATATAAGGTACTAGAATACTTTCATACCCTTTAGAAATCTGATAAGAGCTTTCACTGTAATTTGTATCAGTGGAAAATATTTTAATTTCGTTGTACAGTTGCATGCATATAAGGACTTTTTAAAAATCGTAATATGAACTGGAAACAAATGAGAACAGTTAAAAAGTGGAAAGTGAAAAACCACTGTCAACATTAATTTATTGAATACAGTGCCTCTGAGCTCCGAAGGCTTTGCCAGCTCTCTAACTCCTGCGTTGCGCGGGCTTGACGGCACTGCCGCCATTCTCCACGTGATTCGATACGAAGACCACTAGAGGACTTACTGTTCAACTTACATTGGAAAAGGTTATCTTTACCAATATTCAGTGAAGACTGATCACTCTCTGTTGAGTTCCTGGCCCAGGAATAGAAGATACGTAGGATTTTCAGTTGTATACCTGTAATACTTGTCACTTTTCTTTCACTCTCACACCTTTTGATGTCAACTTTTATTCTGCTGTTTCCTGTGGTACCATGTGTAGCTTGGCCTTTTGATCCACGGTTAATACTCATAACATTCCTTATCCCACACATATCAAACCGGATACCTGTGTCACTGTGAAATGCCCTCCTCTCTCCCCTTTTAACCTTTAGCATTTCCTCTAACTTCTCTAGTCTGCTGACAGGCGCTGCCATTGGCTCTTCTGGGTGGGTGTTTCCTTACCTCTCTCACAGCCGTTTCTCATGAAATGTGCTTATTCCTCATCTCTCAACCAGCATAGCCTCACGCTCTCCCTTAGCCTCCCTAATACTCAAGTAGAACCTAAGAGCCCATTTCTGCATTTTATTCTTACTGCTAGGATTTGCTGTGGCGTGTTTAATTTTTTTTTAAGATCTTACAACAGAAGGCAGAATGCAATGGTTGAAGAGTACCCTGGACCCTGGCAGGAGACCCAGGTTCTAGTTCTGATGTGATACTCACTAGCTTGAGACTGGGGTCAAGTTATGGAAGCCTCGGAGCCTCATGTTGACCCTGTAGTTCTTTCCAGCTCTAAAGTTCATAGCATCTTTGAGGGTGAAAGACATTGTTTTATTAATTATAGAGTAGGAATTCAGTAGAGTGTTGTGGAAAGTCTTTGGAGCCAAGTGGACCTTGGTTTAAGTACTTGCTCTGGCAGTTATTTTCTTTCTCTGTCACTTTTCCTGAGCCCCCATTTTCCCATCTGTAATGTGGGAACAACAGTATCTATCTTACAGGTTCATTTGAAAGATTAGAGATTATAGTGTTGGGTTTTTAGGGTAATCTGAACAGGTAAAATAAGAACTAAGTCAGTTGGTTTCTATTATTAATTAATAATTTATGTTTCTAGAGCTGCCACCATTGGTTGTTCTGAGATTGTTTTTTTGTTTGTTTGTTTTGTTTTGTTTTTTTGGTGAGGTAGAAGTTAGTATTGGAAAGTAGAAGTGGAGATGCTTCTGGCTTCTTGATAAAATCTAACATCCTTCGCATGAATGGCCTCCAGGGTTTCTTCCTGCCTGTCCAGCATCAGATCCCACCCCTCCCCACCTTGAAGTGAGTGAGAAGATTCTATTCCTGAATTTTTTGTTCTCACCCTCTACTCCTCCCCTCTGTGCCTCTGTCTCTTCACAACTTGAAACCAGGGACACTTGATGGATGATTGGATGGATGAATGAATGAGTGAATGAATAACTCTAATCAGTGTCAGAAGAACACAAATGTTTGTTAGGGGTCATTTCAGTATCAAATGGCTCAATAGCCAGTCACGTGGTGCCCTGTGCTGGGGGGCCATGGAGGATAACATGAACGGTGGGATGTGGCACCTGCCCTCGAGGAGCCCAGCAGCGAGAAAAAAACATACAGTCAGAATGTGAACAGATACAACTGGGACCAGAGTGCAATAGGACGAGGGGCTTAAGAGTCCAAATGAAATAATTTTTTTATTGACAAAATTAATGATATTCTTTTCTTACTTGTGTATGAGACATGGTAGCAGAGAGAGGTCCTGAGCTGTGGGGCCAGACCCCTGGGTAATGCTCCCAGCTCCCCCACCCACCAGCTCTTTGGCTTTGAGCAAATTATATAAGCTCTCAGTTTTCTCACGGGTGAAATAGAGTTAGTAGTAGAGCTTACCTCCTGGGGTGATGAGGACGATTCAGTAAGGTTAATATCTGATCCCTGTGTGGTATACAGTAAGTGCTTGAAAGTGTTAGCTCCTTTTTTGTTCTTTATATTTTTGGAAGACAATCATGGAAAAATATTTTTCCACATAATTCTCATCCTTGTTACTGTTAGAGTCATTCACACTGAACAAGCTTCCATGCTGGATCAGCGGATTAAATTTTAGATCAGCGGATTAAACTTGCAGCCAGTACTCGTTTCTACGTAAGCTAACGTGAGAGCACAGCTTGTCAGGCTCCTTTTTACCTGCGCTTTGTCGGCTTTTACCTTTGCATCTGTCTTCTTTCTTTGAACCTTTTTTTTTTCCGATGTATCTTTGATAAATATGCAGAACTTTGAGGTTTTCGTCAAGCACAATGTCAGCAGTGAACCTGCTTCTTTCTCTATAAGCAGAGGTGCTTAAACGCCCCACCTAAAGATCTAAATATGAGCAGACACTAGGCTACAAATCTTTTCTTTCTTGCAGGAACACTTTGAGATGTCTTTGGATTTTATGATTTTTTTTTTCACACTGAGCACAACTCTCAGATGTAAATGCTTTGGAAAACAAAGGGAGAGATTTTGTGAGACCCAATAATAACTACTTTTGCCATTAATTGACTTCGCTGGTTTTTAGTTTGCTCTTTGTTTGAACTGGAATGAGAATAAGCAGCAGTTAAGCAGAGCAGCATTGAACGTGGACCTGTGTGCTGGCAGGAGTCTTCCAGCTAAAACTAGAGTAGCAATCATGGGGAATTAAAATGAGAGCATTATGTAAACTAATATAATATAATGTTATTAGCTAACACCAAGCACTGCATGGTGACTACGTATTTTGTATGTTGTTATTTCTAATCATTTCTCTATACATTATATTTTACTTTGTTTAAACCAATTAATGTCCATTTGTAAATAAGAATACGCTTGAATATCACTTAATTTTCCTTGGACAGGAGTGGGCTGAGTTCAACCAGTCTGTTTTAGGCTATAGAAAGGCTGAGGAAGATCTTGGTTAAAAAACAAAAAAAGAAAAATTAATATATTATTTTCTATTAAATAACAATGTATATTAATTTTCTGTTTGTGTATATTAAGATATATATGATTAAGACTTAACATAAATGGATATGACTACAGTTATATAAAAATAAGTATGCTGTGACTGGCAGTTGAATTTCATTTTTAGTTGCCTTTTTTTTCTTTTATAGCTTTTCACCTCTGGTTCCTACATCTGGATTGTAGCCATAAGTGGACTTGTAAGTGTGATTTCCCCCTTCCTCCAATTCCCCCTCTTTTCTGAAGAAACTTCAGGAAAATGTCATGTTTAGATTATGGGTCATATTCAGCTATCTTCAAATGTCAGATTCTGTGTCAGTGCTACTTCCTTAGTGATGAAGAAGCCAGTTACATGGATAATTGAGACGAAAGAGGCTACTTTGTCTCAGTTTTCAAGGTAACTTTGTTGGAAGTTTTAGCTGAGTTTGTCACTGTAACTTTAAATTTACATTAGTAGTCCTACTATGAGTAGGACAAAAGTGACAAAAAGAAAATGAAGTTGGATTTACTAAAAATAGAGATATTCTGCTTGTTTTGGAAAGAGACATTGTCATGCAAGGGGAAAAATAAGGTTAAGTGGAAAGTCAGGTGGATTGGAACTGACAGAAGACTCATCAGGGTGCAGGCCGGAGAAGGCACCAGAATGCCTGCATTTTACACCCCCCCACCCCCGTCCCTATTACTGCTATGTAGGATTTTATTTTATTTTAATAAACGTCTGTCTTAAACTCTTGTTTATGAGGTATCAGAAAAGAGTCTAAAGCATGAAATTGAGCTTTATTTTTCATCCACTTAAATTTGAACTTCCAAATTGACATGAAAATAAGTTTATAACTAGGGTATATGGAATGTAGATTTAATTTCTTTCTCAGAGAGACTAAGAAAATTACTAGGTTCATAGTAAAATGTATAACGTCAAAGGGAAGGGATTTGGAAATACGTATGCATTCCACTGCAGACATCTTAAGTAAGTTATCACTATCTGTTCTTATTTCCTGGGTGAATGGTATTTTGGGCCAGTGGGTCATTACTTTAAAGCCTGCTCCCTTCTCTCCTTCCTTTACGCTGTCTATATTTTTCCTTGTCTGTGTTTGTGCTTTTCATACAAAACTTAATCCTTCACTCCCCACAACTTCCAGCCAAAATTCTGGGGATTGAAGTCACTTTGTTTCCCCCTCCCTAAACATTTCTCTCAGGTACCCAGATACCTGATTGGCTTCAGGACCGCAGAGCTGACCTCTGTTGTGAGGGCTTCAAACCATGTGAACCACCTGGTGTTCTTAAAACTTGTAGTGACTTAAGGATGGCCTTGGGTCATACCAGTCCTATTGGACGCAATTGCCAGGCTCTCCCCAGTCTAATCTTGTCCCCACTTGAACTGCCAGCGTGATTGACAGCTGCCTAACTAGCCTGTAAACAATAAATATAGTTCTTTACTTTACTGTTTCATTCATGATGCATTCTGTTTCTCTTAGCAGTGATAATCTTGAAACCCTTTTCTGGATCTTTACCTAAAGGATTCGAAAATATGAAAAGGACCTAATTGTATTACATTTTGTTGTGTTAGTTTACTATTGATTGATTTGCTCTCAGAATTTGAACCCTTCTTTAATAACTCATTATGTGACTCATTTGCTTTAAGAAATCCCGTTTTCTTTTTTTTTATTGTGATTTCAAACTCCTGGTTTTAAACTGAGCTCTTGCTGTCACCTCAGAAAGTTTCGTTTTGTGACATTTAATGCTCTAGAGTTGGAGTTTGCATTTTCCCTCTCTTTCTAGTCTTTTAAAAACCTAAAGTATGTATTGTGGTCAGTCTTTTCTAGTACATGTGCTTAACAGGTGGTAAGGTGCTTGAATTAATTTTTTAAAGGAGTCAGAAGTTTAACAAATTTTTAGCATTAAAATTCCTAATTTCAGAAGAGTGAATAGAATTCTTCAGTATTTGGAATATACTTCCCAGATGAATTTAGCATTTAAATAATCCCACTATTAATAAACACCTCTAAGCCAATTGAATTTTCACTTTTTATAGTAACTAATCCAGCCAGTATTATTGATCTCCTACCGTGTACACAAATCTGATAAATCTTCATATCAGCCCCATTCTTTATTGTTACTCCACCGCGATTAGGTGATACCGTGCTTACGCAAAATGATTAATGTCAGCGATCGTTATACCAGTTTTACTGCGTGCTGTACCGCAGATGTTAGTGCTTATTTTGAATTTGAAGAATATTTTGTTTCTGACTTTTTCCAGAAAACCACATTTTTATTATGAAATATTTAATATAATATGGTATACTTTAGATAAGGATAATTTATAAAGGGAGATATAAAAGTATTTGTGAATGTTTGGTTTGCACACCGCTGAATATAGGATCAAAGTCTGAGATTCACAAAGCCACAGCTTGTCCCAGATGTCTCTTCCTCAACGTGACTTCTCCTCTCCCCATATTTATCAAGTTACTTCCCCCTTTTTTTTTTTTGGTTTTTATGCTAAAGAAAATATGAAAAAGAAAATAAAATTCCTACTACCAAAAGAAATGCACAGATGGCATTCAGTGTTTTGGAGGAACGTTAGAAAGCCTTTTGATGAAATTTCACCTTTTAGCTCTGAAATCAATAGTTCCCCTAACATACTGTATGCAGTAAGGAAGTAGTTTTATTTCATTCTGGCAATTGTGCATTTTTTAAGAGAAAGCCTTTCTTAAAGAAAAGAGCCATTTGTGTAAAACATAAGTCATGTGTTATCTGCTGTCATGGAAACCAAAACTTTTATGCATGCTTTTCTGGAAAGCTGCCAACGTTGGGTTTGGTTTGTTTTATTTAGCTATTGGTGGGTTTATTTTGCTTAGGCTGATTTTTACCTCTCCTTGTGTCAATTCTTGTATGATTGTAAGTATTTATGAATACGTAACTTTAAAATATTCCACTGATTTAAAGAGGAGGAAGATGATAAATTATATCAGTACAGTATTTTGCTGGGTGGGAGCCCACTTTCTGTCTTCAGTGATGTCACAGAAAAGAATAAAGACTAAATATTTTTCCTGGGTTTGGATGGGCGTAGTGTTTAGCTTACCAGGAGCAATAAAGAGCTCATTTGCCCAGGACAGCTGTCAGTCCACAATTCCGTTTTGTGACCCATCAGGGAGTCCAGCTGCTGCCCACCTGGTAAGGGGCATTCGGTTTTGCTTAAAGATTACTTTGCAGTTATTCACGTGTATCATTGATACATGTTTTAATGTTGTGGTGTTCTTCCTTTGGCAATTCTGGTTTTTAGTACCAACATTTAATATCTAAAGTATGACTGTTTTCATGGAAAGTTGAGAAATTGTCATTGGAAAGCTTTGGCTATAGTAGCCAAGGGAAATATTTCAGTGTAAGCAAGTACTTCACAGTGTTAGTATTCACCTGCTTCCATCATATTCCCGCCTCATGTTTATCTGTTCTTCTTCATGTCTTTGGTGAGAGACCTTCAAAAATTGAGGCCACTTTATATATTCACAGTTCCCCTAGTCTTATTACACATTAATACCTTTTGTTTTAAAGAAAACATCGCTTACTTATTGAACTTTATTAAGTTCTTGCGGTTCTGCAGGAAAGCCTTGGGGCCATCCGTATCCCTGCACTTCTTCATTTTCTGCCGTTTTATGAATCATAGTCGTGAGTCATTACCACTGGGATGTACACTCTGTCTCAAAAGCTGAAGTCTTGAGCCTGAACTGATTCTGGCATGATTAAAATAGAAAGAGCCTGCTTTTGCCAATTTTCTCTTTTTACAATTCACATATTTACCATTATTTGGTCCTCTTTAAGCTATTTGGGCAAGAATGAACAGACAGGCCTGCATTTCTTAGACTCCAGGCTTCTCCCCTTTGATCTGTCCCTTTATGGTCTAGCCATTTCCTGCGTTTGTTACCTGTGCTGTACAATATGTCAGGCTTCCATTATCTTGTGATCAAGCAACCTTAGTGTGAGAGGAAATCTGTCCTGCCCAATAACAAGATTAGAGGCACAGATTCACACCAGGTTGTTTAGAACTTTGATGGTCTGAGTTTTTTCCCCCCCTGTAGGTAGTGGAGAATCTTTAAACCTTTTCAAACAAAAAAACCCTACGATGGTGCAAGATTATAGAATCTTTTTAGGGTTTGTAAGTCATAGAAGGGGAAGGGGAGAGTTGAGCAATCTTGAAGAAGTCAGGATGGCTCACTTGTGGGCTATGATTTGTCCTTCTTTCTTCCCTCCACAAGAGTTTTAAAGACGAAAAATAAAACATTGTCTTATGGCAACTGTAAAAGAAAAAGCGTCAGGCAGAACCTTATGTTGATTGGCTTTCCAAGTCGTGGTGTAACTGAGGGGAAAACGTACAGAACTAGCATAAGCTACTGTGGAAATCTGAACTCTTTTGGAGCCCTGACCTGCGTCAGGCTGAATGAGGGTGGGGTGTCGGGTCCTCTGTGCCCTCCCCTGTTTTTCACATCTTTCTCTGCTCTTCATGCTTCCTTTCCTTCTATTCCTTATTGTTTCTTCCCTTGGATTTCTTCCCTGGATTGACCATAGGAAGGGTACAGTGCAGCAGGTCAAGTAACTCATCTGATGCCCAAGGTTTTCAGTTGAACTTCAGGGGCTGAGATCATTTTCTGGAGTTTCATGGAAAACCAGGACAGAAGCTGGAGAGGGGAGTCAAGGCTCATTAGAGCTGTGAGATGGGCTGGGCTTGTGAAAGAACCTGGTGTAGAAGTAAGAGATGACAATAGATCCTTAGAAGGTGCTTTCACCTTCTTATAATTAACATGGTATTTGTGATCCCAACACTGAATTGAGTGCTTATCAGTCCATTGTACAACTTTCTCCCTCTCCCTTTCATTGATTCATTCATGCCCTCTCTCTCCCCTCCTTTTCCCTCCCTCCCTCTCTGTGTCCCCTTCCCCTATCCTGACCTTCAGTAGCCTGGACCTACTAAAGGAAACCTTCTGTCCTCTCCTTGTCATGACAATTACAGCTCAGTCCAGGGCTGACAGAGAATGTCTTACTGGATAAGTGTTACACAGGGTGTGACTAGTAGACTTCTAAATGTTCAGTGCAGGACTGTAAAGTTTGTATTACCGTAACTTATCTTTTACTTCTAGGCAAAAACCTAGCCTCCTTTCAGAGCCTTTAAAAATTAGGCATCCTCATGTACTTCTCTCAGCCCTGTGAA